GAAAAATACCGTCAAATATCGTGAAACCAGTGAAAATGTTGAAAATACCGTGATATAAAATTTTGATCGTATCGCCAAGCTCTACTATAAATTCTAATAATTATTTAACCCTCTGAGCAAGCCAACTTTTCTGGATTAGTTTGATGTAAGCAGAGGTTTTATTGAAATCATCCATTTACTTGAAATGAAAGCTTTTTTTTTTTAATTTTACAACATTATAAGCCCAGCTGCTTTGCGTCATGTTTTGAAAAAAAAAAAAAATCCCCCTTTTGACCTCTGCTGAATAGATTACCTTCAGGAGCTTGTCCTGTCAAGACACGTTTCTGTCGTTTTATGCTTTTCCTCCTATTGTTGCACGTTTCTGGAAAAATCACTTGAAATGTTGCGACCCCGAGGAGCGACAGCCTTGTTTTCTGTTTATTTTTGCACGTCTCCATCGAAGCCTCTACAGAAATACACAGGCACAGAAGCGAGGAGAAGGGCCGCCTCGGGGGTCACTGGCTCCTAGCTGAACACGACTAGCTCGCTGCTTATTTCTGCTGCATTTGAACCAGGGAGTGATCTCCCATCTAGACGTCACATTTTCACTCCTCACATTAGGATATACTCTATTTTCCACATCAGAAACTTGCTCCATTTAGTGGATTTGCACGTTTAAATCATCTTAGAGTAAAGCAAGCATGTATATTCTTAGCATAAGTGCCCCAGTGGGATATAAACTAAATCCCTCATGCGTGCAGTGTAAGTAATATGTTCTCTCTGGTGAGCTTTCTTATAAAAAAAAATGCAGAAAGAAAAACTTTAAAGCCTATTACCGCCCAATCAGGATGTAAAAGTGGCTTTTTTTTCCTGTGGTGAAGCATTTCCTTACACTGCAAAGCCAGCTGTAAAACTTAATGAAACATGAGTTCCATAACTCTTGTTCGCAGAATGTTTTTCAAACAGCATTCCACGTGTGCTATTATCCCCTGAGCAACACAACATGCTAGAAAATGCATGACTCACTGCTAATGTATGCTTTTGAAGCAGTGTGTTTAAATAAATCAGCTCTGTTTTTTTTTTTTTTTTTTTTTTTGATTATTCGGCGTATTCCTTCCACTTCCCATCTACCACCACTCCTCTTCAACAGCTGCCCGCCTCCCGCCTGCTTGTGGCCTGCTGTGTGTGAGTGAGGCACACGATGAAAGGCTCATGTTGTTGTCGTTGGTGGGAGTGTGTGTGTGTATGTGTGTGTGTGTGTTTCTCCGTTTGCTCGCCTCGCAACTTTTCTCTGGTTGTGGATTTATTGAGCTCCGGGGCAGATCAGATCAATTCTGGATTTCCTTTCGGTTTCATTTCACTCCTGATTTTACCCGTGCTTGAGCTGCTCTTTCTTTAAATGGTTGTGGTTCTGCGTGTGTGTGTGTGTGTGTGTGTTTGTTCGTCTCACTTGCTGTTTGGCTGATGAGGGAGAGATTTGTCTGTAACCACAGAGGTTGTGTTCAGTTTCTTTTACTGGTGGTGAGTGATGTTTTTGTTGTAAATGTGGTTTGCTGCATGCAGACTAATAGCTGAGGTGTGGGACAATTTAAATCCAGTTAGTTGTGAAGATTTTGGAGTTGTTGTACTTATTTAGATTGTTATTTCAAGGCTATTGTTTTTAGTTTACCATGACTATTTTCAGTTCAGCTTGTTTTGGCAATAATAATCACTGTGAGGTCTGTTTATGGTYAAAAAACTGACTTTGACAGTTCTAAGAAGTTGTTACATCTTTTTTTCACTGCATATTCTTTACACAACAGTTTGGTTGTTTAACGTGATTACATCAGTTGTTATGTTTATAGTGTATTGCCTTTTATGTATATGTGAAATAAATATGTAAACGTATTGATTAAAAAAAACATAAAAAAAGTTTGAGATTTTGCATTTATACCTCAGAAAAAACACTAAAAACATATTTTTGAGTCCTTATTTGTGACCCATCACATCGAAATGAGGATTAAGTCAAATTTGATCAAAATGACCTAATTACATTTTCATATTATTGGCTTTAAAAGCTACATTTTGATACCTGGATCATTCTGATTTCATAATTAAATCCATATATACAGGAATGACTTAATTTGTCTTGTTGGTTGCAACAATACATAAATATTTGGTCTGAATCCTAATTTTATGTAATTTTAATG